TGATGCTGCTTGGCCTGCTGTGTTCGTCCAGCCCTGCACCTTGTTGTTAGAGATTGGTAGGTGCATCTTTTACTTAATAAATGAAGTATTTTACATTGAACAAACAAAAACCCAAAGAACTGCAGATGCTGGAAATCATAAGGATCACTGGATCTGAGGTGTTGGCTCTGCTTTCTCTCTGCAGATGCTGCCAGATCTGCTGAACTTTTCCAGCAATTTCTGATTTTGTAATACAGGTGACTACACAGTCAAACTATTTTATTTGGTTGGTATCGGTGGTTGCAGAAGATTACTCTATAAACTCGGGACTTTTTGAACCAATTGGAGCAAAAAAAATGAAGTTAACATCAATGGATCAAAAGTTTTCCTTGAGCTTGATGAAAAATAATGATTATGCATCTGAATTGTTTCTTTTCAAGAGAAATTTTAATTGGGTCTCTTTTGAAAGCCATTTGAGTTTCTGAGATTAGAGTTGAATATATATTGGCTGCCAATTTCAGCCTTTGTCTTTCACCTGAAGATTGACTTAGTCTCTTTTGTTATACCTTTCACTTATAATCAGGAAAGGCCTGAGGTGAGAATGCTTTAAATTGATTGGGATGAAGGTTTGTCTTCAAGAAAACCCTTATCCTATCTGTCCACAGGCTCCCAGTGTGAAAAGACATTATCCTGTAGTCTTTCCACACTGACTTAAGAATCATCTATTGGAAACAATGAGGTTGAAAAATACATTTGCAGCATTTTATTTCAGTCGAAGTGATTAACTTCATAAATGTCTTCCAACTACATTTTCACAGAAGGCTGGGGAGGCCAAAGACAGAGATAGATTCGTGATTACTAAGGAGGTCAAAGATTTCAGGGAAATGGTGTTGAGAACCATATCAGCCATGATCAAATGGTGGAACAGACTTGATGGGCTGAATGGCCTAATTCTGCTTCTATATCTTATGGCTTTATAGTCTTATGGATGACTCTTTTTTTTATTTGTTCAGGTCTCTGGGACAACAAGTGACATGGAAGTTGATCTGAAGCAGCATATAGCAAGACTTGAGGAGATCTTTGCTCAAAGAATGGAGTTTATTCAGACACTGAAGTTCATGCAGCAGATGGCTGATGCCATTGTTTCACAACTCTCTGGTCTCCCAACCTGGCATCATTTAAATTTGAACATGGCAGGAGTAGCTGATAATATCAACCACTATGAATATTACAGGTAAGGATCTTCATGAGTTGTATATTTTTGTGGACCTGATATACTGACAGTTGCTCGGTAATATGGAACTTGAGTATTGTGAAAAAAGACATGCTAACAAAGGCTTTTGTCTCACACCCATCAGACAGCCTCATCAGACCTATATAATCAGATTGTGCTTTCAAAACTCAGAACATAATGCCTAATGTTCAGTATGATTCTGCAGTTTGGCAATACTTTCTGAACAATTCTAAATGTACTAATGATTACAGTAACAACAAATATGAGATCATCAGTCAGGCTTACAATGCTTGTACAATTCATATATTATTCTATATGGGATATCGCTGTAGCTGGCTTGCCCTGTATTTATTGTCTGTCTGTAATTACTTTTGAGAAGGTGGTGGTGAGCTGCCTTCTTGAACCGCCCCCCTCCAATGATTTTGGTCCACCCGCATTGATGTTAGGGAGGGAGTTCCAGGATTTTTGCCAAGCAACAATGAAGGAATGGAAATATATTTCCAAGGTCAGGATGGTGAGTGGCTTGGAGACGGACGCACAAGTGATGGTGTTCCAATGTAGTTCCCATGATGATAGTGGTCATGTGTTTGGAAAGTGCTGTGTAAAGAGCCTTACAGAATTTCTGCTGTGCATCTTGTTGTTGGTATACACTCTTCAATGGTGGAGAGAGTGAATAATTGTGGATATGGTGACAATCAAGTGAGCTGTTTTGCCAGGGTTTCTTGAGTGTTGTTGGAGCTGCACTCATGCAACACTGAATGAGGGCATTAACATAAGTCATAGAATAGAGTCACCTTGTAATGTCCTTCAGCACATACCCAGTGGTGTGCTATCTTATGAATCTGCGTGGAGTGGGGTGTACCCTAGAATTTGAGTTAGTATTCTGTGCTAAAATTGGCAGTCCAGTATTAGGGGTAAATTTGGACGTTAACCTGTAAATCCACATGAAGTGTGGATTAGAGTGCAGTAGAGAGTTTTAGTTAACTTCACAAGCAATAATCATTTAAGATTCATTTTCCATTTATTCTTGTTCAAAGAAGTAGCCAGGCGAAAAAGAAAATTATTTAAACCGCGTAAACATATTCAGATGCTGATGCAGCAACAGACAGATTCCGGAAAGGTGCAGTGTGACTGAACAAGCATTAACCCTAAAGCCTTATTAGGAAATGGAATGTGAGGATGATCACATAAACGTCAGCTTTCCTGCTCCTCTGATGCTGCTTGGCCTGCTGTGTTCATCCAGCTCTACACCTTGTTATCTAAGAAAGATAAAGCAATAGGGTTTAGATAAGGATGGGAACAAAGCCCAGTCTTCAGAGAGAAGATAGGATGGCACCTGGGATGATAGAGAGTGGTGAGACCAGGGGTAACAAATGCCTTGCCAGTTTTTGGAAGGTGTGAAAAACAAGGTGCTTGTCTAAAATGCATCAATTTGGGATTAATTTACTGTCTATATGACTTGCAATGTATAAATATCTGATGAATCCTCATTGAGTCCAGGGGCTGTTTCAGAATCTTTTCTGGAGTAGACTCTCCCAATGTTGGCTCAATGAACAATTGTCGACCTGTACCCCAAGGATCGTGAGATTATTTCATAAATTAATCTGCTACAAGATAATCTCCAAGTACATTTGCCACCCTCTGTTACTGATGATGTGCGATTGATAGGGTAATAAAACAAATCTTCAGTATTAATTATTATCTTGGACGTGAATGTGGAGGGGCGGGGTGATATGCTGAGCTGTAGAGGAGGAAGATGTTCTGACTGGATCAATATAGTTGAGGTTTTGGCTATGGCAGTGAGTTATTTTGGGGTATGTGGAATTTATTAACAAACTGATGGACATGATTGTAGTTTTATAAAGAAACCTGCCAGTTTTGCTAAAGTCACTTCGTCCAATTTAATTGTAAAAAATGCTTGTCCTGAAAAAAAAGTAGGGTTGGGTAGATGTAGATTTGAGGAGTTACATAGGATAAATTACATAGGATACCTCACTCAAACAGACCAATTAACACAAAGAATCAGTGCTGGTGTTTACCTTTCACTTGAGCGAACTGATATAATCATGTTATTCATTTGTCTCCCTTTCCAACAATTCTGAATAGATGTAGCAAGCTTTGGAGGGAAGGCAGGAGATTGGCATTGGTTTTATGCTGATAATAAAAACACAGTCAGTAGAATAAGGTGGACATCCAAACGTAGCAGTTAGTAATTTTATGCTTCGCCAGAGGGTATGCTTTTGAGACAATCCATACTGCAATCTGTGAAAATCAACTTCCTACTATCTCTGAATCAAAAAGAATGTCTGGTCTTGCACCATAGTTCTTTCTGTGAAAACCATTGGAAGTATTGCATCTTGTTGAATGAGGTGTCATTGGGGTTTAACAGTCCACCAAGTTCACAATTACACTGACTACCCTGAGAAACTAATTAGGTATTTATCTTAAGAGTTCACTCATCTTTGATTATTTTAGCTTCTGACTTAATCCAATCATTTATTTCACCATCTGAAAATTTAAATTAAAAGTGTGGGGGTCATTAAGCATTTAGAACTTTCAGATTTGCTGTGTGTGTAGATATCATTGTCAGCTTCCCTGTTCACTGACATCACTGTTGTTGCACATCAAGGTATTGCATAACTCCTGCCAGATTTGATGTTGTCAGGAAAGGCTAAATTAATAACACACATCACTTGATCCATGTGGGCATCTTTAAGACCAGCAGGAAAAACTCTGTATTTGCTTTGAATGCAAAATCCGAGCTTTTATGTTGTGTCACTGAGTTACTCTTCTTCCCTTTGGCTATTGGAAGCAATAGACATGTTTTATGAGCTTTGGCATTTTGAATGATGTAAGTTGAAAAATGCTTTATACGTCTTATTGGAAAGCTGGCTGTGAAGATTGGCCTGAAGGTTTAAAGCAGGTTAGTGTGGTAGTTTTATAGTGGATTTGCTATCAAGGAGATGTAATGCTGGTGTTGAGACTATCAAATTATTTTCACTTGATTATGTAATATTTACGTGCTGCCACATTCTCCAAACATAGAACATTACTTGCCTTGTGTTCATGTCTTATCAAGTGATTGATTAGAAATCCAATGAATTAGTATTCTAGTTGGAATCATGCCAAGCTAACATCAGTGGGTCCCAGCACTTTTGTTCAGATGAAGTTTCAATTTTGTTCAAATCTCAATGGGATTATTAGAGCAGAAGAGACGTTTTATAGGCAATTTGGATGCAACCTGCGAAAAGCTCGGGTAGAGGAGAGTTAACACCAAGATGAAATTTAATGAAAATCTGTACTTGCCATTCAACTGCTGCATGAACAATAGTTATATTTACACGAACAACAGCATGTTGCACAACTTCTGGCCCATGTAGTTGCTACAATGAGAGGGGAACTGAATACATGTAAACAAGGTAAGTAAATAACGAGAAAGACTACAGCGTGAGCCCCTTTTGGGAATGAATCTGAGGATTTTTGCTGCTTGTCAAATTTGTTCAATTACACTTGAGTGGCTGCTTTGCAACATTACCTCAGACCCCAGAGTTGTGAAACTATCCCTTTGCATGCAGGCCAGTGGGTCTGGTGGTTTCCAGAAAGGGTGGATTTGGAGAATAAAATTACAGAATCTGAAGACCTGAATGCTGTTGTAATGTATTGCTGACTGGTCATGAAGTAATTGATGGTGGTTTACAGCAGCCTGTGGCCCAACCATCTGATAAAACAGGAAACAGTTGGGATGATGATGCCTGTGGGGAAAAGAAAAGCATTTGAAGAGCAGGTTAGCTGCAATAGAATCTTGGTTTCCTTATGCTCTGTATTTTCTGTGCACTATGAGGGTTTTTACTATCCTGGTAATCCCAGTGTGTTCATATTGAAAGGTTCTTCTATAGTCAGGATTGTATTTCTAGTATTTACTTAATCATTGACCTTACAGCTGAGGAATATTAACATTTTACAAATAGAAAATTCCTCAGTATAGTTTAAAATTTTTAGATGCAGTCTGAAAAAAAATAAGTAGCAAAGGTTGGGGTAAAATGATTATTGCACAGATATTTGTATATTTTTCACATTCAAAAATCATCTTGTCATTTTTGGGTCAGTTTGGGTAGGATTTTAAGATGTATCCTTTTTCCATTTCTAATGTTACATTTTAAAATGAGTTTCTAGTTTCTCATTCATTTAAAAACGCCCCTCTGTAGTTTTAGAGAAGCTGACTTGTGTTTTTCTGGTAGGCATGAGATGCCAGTCAGTTTGACAATGACTGCATCGATAAGCCATGAAGCCTTGTCTGGTGTGTCTAAACACTGAAGTGTGTATAACTGTGATTCAGGATGTATAACAAGCATCCTCTCATTACTGAGTAATATTGAAGAAATTTGACTCTATCAATTCATCTGACAATGCGTCAGAGTAAAACAACCAGACATATGTGTGCTTTCTGTCCAGTAACATGTTATCTCAAGCTTTAGTAATGGGATTCTAACAACCTATTCCTAGAACTTGTGGGCTTTAAATTAATTTTGATTAAATGCTTCAATCAATTATGCACAAATTCGAGCAACCTTCGTCAGTACAACCTGAGGTCAATGTGGAGAGGGTATGTACATACGTGTAAGAGAGAGAGACTAGTGTGATGAGTGCATATGTCTACAGTTCCCCTCTCACTGTTGTAGCTAAATTGGCCAAAAGTTGGGCAGCATCTTTTTCATGACTTTTTAGAGGCATGGGATTTTACAGGATGGAGAAAGAGTGATCAGCCCATTTTATTTGTACCAATTCTTCAAAAGAGCTATCTGATCCATCCCACACCCCTGCTCTTTTTTCCGTATGTGTAAAGACTGTATATTTAATTTTACTGCATATTTGATTGTGGACAGAAATGAGAAAAGAACAAAAACAAAAGTTGCTGGAAAAGCTCAGCAGGTCTGGCAGCATCTGTGAAGGAGAAAACAGAGTTAACGTTTCGGATCCGGTGACCCTTCCTCAGAACTGAGGAAGGATCACCGGACCCGAAACATTGTTTTTGTTCCTAATTTACAGCATCTGCAGTTCTTTTGGTTTTTAGAAATGGGAAAACAACTGTTTTAAAACTAAGGATTATGGAAAGGGCTGCTACACTTTTCAAAAGTAAATTATCTTGTACTCATTGTAAGTGTTATTTACACAGCTGTTTGTTCGAGTAATTGGGGGAAGTCTGGTTGCAGACAAGCTGGAGCCAACGGACATGTATGAAATGAACCCTCCCTTTACTGGCATATTGATATTTTCTAACCAACCTGTTCAGACATGCTATAACACACCTTTGGAGCAGATGAGACTTGAACCTGGGCTCCGGGCTCAGAGGTAGGGGCACTACCACTATGCTTCAAGAGCCCTATTTAACCAGCCATGACGGAATTTCAATCTGCATTTTCTTGTCTAAGCATTGTATCATTTTCTAGCCCTGGACCTTTGTTATTGGTGTTAAAATCAATGCAAACCATTTCCCGTTGACAAATCTCTCTATTCAGAGCTTGTCTTCCCTGGATTTGGAAAATTATACAGATAACTATCTGAATAATTTGCAACTGAGGCTCTGACAGCAGAAGGGGAAGTAAGACTTTGTGGTATCACATTGGTATTTTTGATTGGAGGAAATGTTGCTGGGGCCGTTCTTGTGTGGAATTATTTACAAGATATCATGGGACATGATCCCGTAACTTCTGAAATTACAGGCTGCATTGTTCATGCTAAATTCCAGCTAGTTTTGGTAATCAGTTTAGATCCACTGATAACGTATTTGAATCTGCCAGTATACATTTTGAGTGTGGCATCCTAGCTAAACAGATGGTGTGGAACAAAAACCAAAGAACTGCAGAACCAAAGCTGCAAGTCAGAAACAAAAACGGACAGTGCTGGAAAGACTGAGCACATCTAGCAGCATCGGTAGAGAGAAGGCAGAGTTATTGTTTCGGGTCCAATTACCCTTTCTCAGAAATACTGTTCTGAGTTCTGAAGAAGAGTCACTGGACTCAAAACTGGGAACCTGAGTTCAAATTCCACCATGGCAGATGGTTGAATTTGGATTTAATTATTTTTAAAAAACCTGGAATTAGCAAGTAAGAATTAGGGGGCATAGCCTCAAAATAAAGGGAAGCAGACGTAGGACTGAGATCAGGAGGAACTTCTTCACCCGAAGGGTTGTGAATCTGTGGAATTCCCTGCCCAGTGAAGCGGTTGAAGCTACCTTGCTGAATGTGTTTAAGGCAAGGCTAGGTAAATTTTTGAACAGTAAAGGAATTAAGGGTTATGGTGTGCGGGCAGGTAAGTGGAGCTGAGTCTCAAAAAGATCAGCCATGATCTTATTGAATGGCGGGGCTGGCTCGAGGGTCCGGATGGCCTAGTTCTTATGTTCCTATGTAATCCAATGACGGCCATGAAACTGTTGTCAATTGTCAGCAAAAATCCATCTGGTTTCCCTTTAGGAAAGGAAACTGCTATCCTTACCTGATCTGGTGTACGTGTTACTCCAGATCCACAACAAAGTGGTTGACTCTCAACTGCCCTGACTTCTCCCTGGGTAATTAGGAATGGGTAATGAGTGTTGGCCTAGCCAGTGATGCCTACATCCTGTGAATGAATTTAAAAAAGCGGTTCATTATTATCAATGTAATTCTACTATCATATCAAGTTTAGGCTCTGTGGGTATCACTTCACCCTCTACTAAAGTTTTTGATTTAAACCTAATGCTAAGATTTCACTTAATCACACATAATATTCCAGCACTCTACAGAAGGAATGCTGTATTATTGGAGTTTATTATCTTTTGGATGAAGCATTAGTTTGAGGACCTGTATGTTTAACTTGCCAAATTAAGTCTTATGATGTAGAATTCTTCCTGCCTCCTTCAAAATTTAAAAAGATTAGCTAGTATTACTTGAATTGTATCTAACAAGCATGTAACCAATCCCTCAATAATTTCTCGAATTTTAAAAGGTTGCTGTTGACTCACATTTTTAAACAGCTTCATTTGAAGCACTTTACTTTCATGCATATAACTTTCTTAATGCAACTGTCATTTCAGGTGGCTGTCATATCTTCTGCTCCTCATTATTGACCTGCTTATTTGTCTGATGACATTCCTAGGTCTGGCTAAACGATCCAGGTGGCTTCTCACAATGTGAGTATTGTATTAGCTTTGTATCATAGAATGCATAATCTATTGGAGAGCAACACATAGAAAATTTTTGATGAAAGATAAGTTTTACATGAAAATAAATACTTTATTTTTAGCTTAAGATTAATACTGATGCTTTCTTTTTTGATGCCTTTACTTCAACTTGGAGAAGCTACAGCTTCTCTTTCCACTAATTTGCATTCTCGGTCAGTTTCCACTGGGTGCCTGTAGGATCATAGCCATTATTTCTTGATGACCTTTTAACTTGAGCCGTTGAGAAGATCCAAGGAGAATGTGTTGAATCACCTGTTCCTTTTTTGCTCAAATACTTTGCAAAATATATTTTCAGAAAACAGTCCCACCCAAGCAAAGTGTTAGATTTGAGTTCTCGATGCTGCTAATTTGACTATTTTATTGGGACAGTGGATCATTACAATTGACCTTCAAGTTGAATACCAGTTTCATGGCACTTAAGCATATAATAATTTTCATCCGGTTTATCAAATAAACTTTGTCATCAATGAAATCTAATCGAACAATGTTCATTTAGGAAAGTATACAAAATGAGGCCCCTTCCTTAAATTGCTAGGATTAGGCACAATGGGCCTAATTTTTACTTAGTTGAGTTAAACCTATTTTAAAATGAAAACTGTCTGGCAACGAGAAATTTATATGAAGTACTTTGTGTAAGATTTTTATTCCCAAATTACCCCATGCTATTCTATAAATTGCCATTCAGTTCTTCATTGTATCCTCAATCTTGTTGCCATGAGAGATAAAAAGAGAAATATTGTGGAAATGCGGGAGAGGAACCAAAGTGACAATTAATTGGAGTCAATGATGGGAATGCATATCCAGCATTCCCATCCAAGGAGTAGGACTATATGTTGGAAGCACCATTTCAGTCCAGTTGACCAGCTGCATCTATTATCATCAACTTTAGTGTCATATTGAGAGTGGTGGTGGGGGGGTCTGCCAGCTCATTTGATTGGACGGCTGGTTTGTGTTGCAGAGTTGACACCAACAGGATGGGTGAAGGACTCTCCTTCTCAACCTGTACCCTCTCCTGATACATGGTGACCCTCAGGTTAAAAATCACCAACAGTTGTCTCTCTCTAATGAGAGAGCAGCCCAATGGGCAGGTATGACTGTGGAAACTTAGAGCAAAAATAGGGTGTTAACTTCTATGTTGATGCATCTGTTTACCTTTTTAGCGAAAGTAATGGCTTTTCTTGGAAACAGTTGACATATTTTCCTGTAGATATAAATCATCTTTCATCAGCCTTCTGTTATGGCCTATACCATGCAAGCTGGAACTTGCTTTCACAAATGCTTTCATATTTCATATTCTTTCTAGCTGTAATCAAGTTGGTATGATCCCAGAGAAAAGAGCTGCAGGATATCTGAATTGAAAATGGTGGAAATTTAAAGCTGGTCAACCTGTATAACAGAGTATTTTGAGTACATTACCTTCAGCAGGTTTTTTTTTCCCAGAGACAGCTTAAAGCTGATCTTATCTCTACCTTCATTGAAAAGAACACTGATAATTGTAACATTGATTGCAACCACATGCCACACATTGCTGGAAATGTTATATTGATACAATGTTAGATCAGATCTTGACACTTGTGTCAGTAAGTGACACACCCCATCCTGTAATGGAACTGAAATATTTGGTTACAAATTACACAGCAGTTGGCCAATTCAGGAAAAAAGCATTTCAATGAAGTCAGAGCAGTGGCTCAGAAAAGCAATCTGTCCCCATATTCTGTTTCCCAAGGGCTATCGTTTCCATTCAGTCGCATAACTATTGATCTCCTGCCCTGATTTCTGCAACTGCTATAAAATCTAATTGCCAGTGTTCTTGTTAATATTTTATGTAACACGAAATCTTTGCCATGCGCTGCAGTATACATGCAAAATCAGTTTGAAGAACTTACATGTTTGTATTCTAGTTTATACTTGTAACCCCTTTATTGAAAATAATAGAAACTCAAGAACTTTGCAAAAGATGTGCATTGTGCTGAAACTGTGTATTGTTTTATTGAGAGCCAACCTGTATCCTTCTGCAGTTTGTTTGCCCAAAAGAGTTCAGCATTAAATTAGCTACCAGCTCTCAGTCTCTTGAAACAAGGAAAAGATCAGCATTAAATCATAGAATTCCTACAGTGTGGAAAGAGGCTGCTCAGCCCATTGACTCTGCACCAACCCTCCAAAGAACATCCTGCCCAGACCCAGACCATTCCCTGTAACCCTGCATTTCCCATATCTAATCCACCTAACCTGCACATTCCTGGATGCTATGGGGCAATTTACCATGGATAATCCAGCTAACCTTCACATCTTTGGATTGTGGGACAAAATCAGAGCGCCCAGCAGAAACCCACATAGACATAGAGAGAGCGTGCAAACTCTATGCATACAGTCGCCCGAGGCTGGAATTGAACCCAGATCCCTGGCACTGTGAGGCAGTAGTGCTAACCATTTTGTCACTGTGCCACACAATTGTTCAACTGCATTAAGAAGCTTTCACTCTACTGTAACGAGTGTAATGCAAACTAAAATTTCTCTCCTTTCTGCTGATCTTTTGCCCTCTTTTTATGTTTTTATGCCTTTAAAAATAGCTTTCTAGGTCTTGAATGATTACTGTTGAATTATTGAACAGATCTCAGAAGCTACTGTACCAGCTAATGACAAAGTCAGTCAGCCAGTTAACTATGTGTATATTGTAATCATAATATAAGTAAGCATTTAACCCAAACTATATGCAAATCCGAGGTGTAATCTCAGTGTATATAGTTAGTCATTAATACATTCCCAGATATCTGTCTCAAGTAAAAGCCTTAGTCTCTGTGGTATGTCTTACATGGGCTAACATGTAGAAAACCACAATACGTCAAAATAGCAGTAAGTGGGCACTGGAAGCTGGTGATAGGAAGCATGTGTTAGAAACTATCCACAGCAAGTTGGCAGCAATGACAGTTGTGGCAAGCTCTTTTCTTAACTGCCACCCGTTATCTGTCTGAGTTCAGAGCTGAATTTCACATATAAAACTAGGACTGAAGGCTACAACTGTACTGAGGCACAGCAACCAAAATGGAGAGACACTTGTGCGTACAGTGTCTTGGGGGAGAAAAAAGGGAGATCATGCAGTGTCCAATTTAAAAAAAAAACACTACAGTTTCTGCCCCAATTTGGCAAAGCAATCCTAAAAATGAAGTACAGCTCAAAGCTAGAAAAAAATCCTTCTACATATTGTTAATGCATTAACCCTTGTACACAGTTGTATTTTTCCTGAGAAACAGTAAAAAAAAAAGCAGGAAAATCTCTGACTTATTTTTTGGTGTGCATACCAAAGAAAGTCATTGAACACCTATTTTTGTTAAAAACAGAAAATATTAAAAGAAAGAAAGCAGCAATCTCTAAAGCAGCAACAAAGAGAGAAGCCAATGATAATAGTAAAGGCATTTTCGTGTAATTAAGATCCTTTATTTACTGGAACTATTTGAAGAGCACCAAATTGCACAGAAAGGATGCAAGGCAAATATCTGAACATGGATTGGCATTTCAATGCCATTGTCAGGATTTTATTTACAGAAGGAAAGAATGAATCTTCTCTTCATGGATCAATACAGCCATTTGGAAGGACAAGCAGCCAAACTTCTCACTTCCCTGGGAAACAAAGATTTGAGAAGAAAAAAATCCACTGGTATGATGAACGTAAAGATCCTGACAAAACTTTCCTATTTTTGGAAGATCAGTTTAAAATTAACCCAACTTCAGGGGACACAGGCTTGAGTTCATGTCATGCTGCCAGCAACAATGTGAAACAATCAAACCATTTCAGAGGCAGATGTCAAAGTAAAGCTACAGAATGCGATTTCACCAAAGCTAAATTAGCTGAAAGGCTGATGGAACTGGCCGTTGTCTCTACATCTATCAGGTCTTTTGAATGGCACTCCTGGACAAACCTAAAGACAACACCATTGGCACACTGTATCAAATGGATGAAGGACACAAGTTTGAAGAAACTGTCACAGGACAGCAGCATCTGCAGGTGTTTGACTCTGCAATGACTACTGCATCCGTCAACAAGATGGGTAAAACATCTAAATCTTATCTCACTTGCCAAAGCAATGCATAGCATTTTGTGACACGTGCAAACTTTGTTTCAAAAGAGGAGATTTGGTTAAAATGTGCAAGAGGTCCAATTGCTCAGAGAAACCCAAAGTGCAGCATAATGACCTATGGTAAGCAAGCAAATCAGTCAAGTCCAAGAGGTACCCACAATGATACAGCTTATAGACCGCAGTCAGAAAGCACATGTGATCAATTTGACACACCACATGGAGGCTGTTAGAAAAACAGAGTCCTTTATCTTTATCCAATTCCCCAAAAGGAACTGACAACATGCACTATATGCCAAGAATTGACACTCATGCAAGTGCAAATATCATCCCTTTACTTACCTTCCAAAAGATGTACGCAGGAAACTGGCACCGTGTGGTACAGTCCACACACGATAAGCTAACTACTTACAACAGGTCTGACATCCTAAGCATTAACTATGTTAAATATTAGTATGACTTCTCAGGATAGGCACTTGAAACCTTTTACATCTTGATATAGCAGGACCTTCTGTCATTGATCGACCAACATGCATAGATCTGTGTGTTATTACAATTTATGAGATCATGAACGTATTAATTCCATTGCCGGAGATTCCAGACCACAACCTGAGTGTATCCATGACCTGACTAACCTTATGATCTCTTCATGCTTACCACGTTGGAAATAGAGGCCTTGAAGCATGTCTATTTCAGGATGACAAGGTTATTATACAATACAGTATGTTACAATACAGCACAGGAACAGGCCCTTTGGCCCACCAAGCCTGTGCCGATTCCTGATCCTTATTTAGATCTGTGACATATCACCTATATGCAGTTTCTATCCCTCTGTTTGCCTCCTGTTCTTGTGTCTATCAAGATGTACCTTAAAGG